TATGATCTCCACGACACTTTATTAACATTTGGACACGATTCGGCATGGATTCCACTAATTTTTTACAGTCATTTATAATATTTGTGTCCTTGTACCACACATGAATTAACGCCGTGATTAGCTTCTCCATAGTTGTACAGTCCATATTTAATAGGCGATTCTTGCATATGGCCCAGAGATTCTCAATTGGGTTGATATCCGGAGAGTTCCCTGGTCATTCCAATGTCTCAATTTGATTCCCAGACATGAATTTCTTGACAATTTTGGACGTATGGCAAGAAGCTAAATCATGTTGAAAAATCCCTGTTCCATCAGGGTATCGTTTCTTTAACTCTGGAACAACTTAATAGTAATGTACTGCTCAGAACGCATCATACCGTCAATAGGCTGCAAAGGTCCAACCCCATTGTAACCGAAACAACCCCAAAACATCTTCTTTAAAAAACACGGAAAAAAAAGTTTGTTTCAATTAATTTGCCCTAGGGTGTATATTTGGTACCTATTAAAACTGCACCAACTACCATAATGACCAGTAGTGTTTATTACCAAAACTAAACATCATTGGTGACAATTATATCATGGCTACTTTTTTTACAGTATCCCGTAACGAATAAATAAAATTTTCTATTAATTTTGCTTTTTAGTTCATAACTTTTTTTTAATTCAATTGGTACTTTTTACTAAATTTAATTAAGCATCATTGACATCAATAATAATTTACAAATTTTAAACGTTCTCTTAAACTAGTCAAGTGACGTAGTCTGCTAATACTAGCACGTCTAATTGGGTATACTATAGCCTACGTCACAGATCGTGTTATTCCTACTAAATTTAACTAGTAAACAGCATTTTCTGCGAACCTGATTTCTAGCAACAAGTAAAAGCATCAAACGAAGTGTCTTGTTTATAAGTCGCTACTCGCCAGGTTGGAATTGTATTAGTCTAGTTCCTTTGGAAATAATTTATTACCGAAGTTTATGAATTTAGTAAACATATTTAAAACTCAGTTTATTAATTAACCTAAAAGGTAAATGTTATTCCTAGTAAGTGGAAGTAGTTGTGCTTTTTTCATATTATACCCAATTCAGGGGCTCTAGCCCGATCATGTTGATCCTTCGTATAACATGGCATAACGAATAAAAAATAATTAAGTATGGCAGAAAGTGCAATAAACAACTTTTTCAATTAGAGCTGTAAGTAACAAGCACCACTGGTATTATTTTTAAAATAATTGACAAAACTGAATCGTCTATGGCTTATTTTGAAACAATGGCTCCCGCTTAGCCAATGAGAAAATTCCATTTCTTAAACGTCTCCGAATATGAAAATCTGATTAATTGGGCTTTGAAAAAAGTCTGCAATTGTATTCATTCAGCTTCATGTTGAAATTCATATTCTTAGAATCTACCGTTATACCCACAATCCAGTAAACAGACACACGTACAAAAAAAACACACGCATTCTTTATTTTATTATACGTAAAGAAGCACGAGCCAAAGAACATGATTGATAAAAATTTATTGCAACTAACACATTTTTTGCTACACATATTGAATGCCTTTACAATGTTTCAAAACACTAAATACTGAACGATATTGCTGTTTTATATTTTGCTTGATTTGAGTTAAAGAATACCATTTATAATAATTTAATGTGAAAAAAAGCACCGAAAAAAAATTAATAGCCATCCGTTTGCTGTCAAAATCAATATCTTTTCACCATAGTCACTTAAGGCAAACATACATTTATTTCTTTTTCTTTTTGACTAATAGTGATTTACGAACTATATCGTTTCCCCTATTTGCGCTGCCATAAATTTATAGAGCACGACATGATTAACGTTTTAGTTGAGTTAATTTTTTATGAACCTACTCCTTAAATTTTTATCCAATTTTTTCATACTGTTTCATTCTCCTTGATTAAAAATCTCTATTATTAAGAAGAAAAAAGTTACGTCATATTTTATCGTTACATTTTCGAAGTGAACTTCGTAATTAAATATTAATGGCACCCCAAAATTTATAGCATAGGTAATTATTTGTGTTCATTTCGTAGATTAAGATTTATTTTACTTAAATATTAATAAAAACATATTGAATTCTCTAATGTTTAATGCGAACAGTGTTTTTTATTTGTTATTCTTATGTGAACTATTGTAATAATTATTTTATATTATTTCTCATTATATTTTCTATTAATGCGATTAAAATTGTGTAACATTAAGATGTTACTTCGTATAAGTGTCTGAATAAAACATAACTTTCCTCCTCCTTTACATTGATTTTTTGTTATAGTTTGTTTTTCCTAATTTTAAATTTCATCAATATTTTCTGTTTTATACGTTTATAAAAAAAAATTAACTAACTTGATTGTTTAATTTTTAGATAAATAGTCGAACTAAAAACTTTAATTTATTAAAATACAAATTTTCGTCTGGCATTAACTAACATGCATTACATGCAGTGTTTACTAAACAGTGTAACCCCTTTCTTCTAACTCCCGTGACGGGGGTGAATATTTGCCCTCTATTTCTCGTACCCTTGATATTTAATGGCTGGAATGTTCCAAATTAAATGATTAAAACAATTTATTTCTTATGAACAGAATTATGTTTATTTCTCAATCTATACACCAAATGGCAGTACCAGACTATTTGTAATGTATTTAGAGATAGTTAATGTATTTTAAACTAGACGTCAAAACTCATCATTATTTCAAGCTAAAAATCAACCCAAAAATTAAAAATAAATAACTATATTATACGTACTCTTAGTTTTATATAATTTTCTTTGAATAAAAAATAGGCACTTTTAATACATTAAAAAAAATTCTAAATTTTAATTTTTGGTATATCTTGTATTTATAATGTATGGGATGCTTTTATAATGTATTTCCTTACTTTTTGGCCTTGAAAAAAGCGCACTGGCTTCCATCCAATAATAAGATATTTACATATCATAGGACTTTTTAAAAAGTTATTACTTAGCCCATTAACGAAGATGGAACATCGGTGTCTCCTTTATATAAATTCTTTTTTGAAGCTTTAATTACAAGCAAAAATATATTTTGGTATTTTTTAATTATAAAAAAACAGGCTAATAGTCACAAAAAGAAATCCGTTAAGCAATCGGAATTATATTTGTGCTAAAATATAAAATACCAAAAAATAACAAAAAAATAGTGCGAAAAGAAAAAAAAAATTTTTATATTCTAACATGTATTAATAATTTATTTTACAAATTAAAGAAATTTCAATTATGAATAACTGTTTCTCTTAGATCTAAACAACTACAAATTTGAAAAATTATTGTTTTTAAGTGAGCTGTGTTTGGAAGATAGACCACTAACGCTGAAAAGGAAACCTGTATTTCACGCTGTATTTCATAACCATAAACAATTAAAAAATTTAATCTAATATTTTTTATTTATTTTTATCACAATTAATATTAAATGATGAAAAAAATATGAAAAATAAGTTTAATAAAAAGGGTTAAATCGAATTTCTTACATTCCTTATAATTTTTCCTTGCAATTAATAACTCCCACCCACAAGGGTTAATCGAATTATATTTTTAGCTAAGCAATAGCTTTGCAAAGGCATACAAGCAGGAAAAATTTTCAAAAAATATTAATATTTTAGGAGAAAAAATTTAACCGAATGTTGTCCAATATATTGGACAGCGTATTAGACAATATACTGGACAAAATATTATTTTTTATGAGACAAAATTGAACCTAATGTTGTCCAAATATATTGGATTATGTTGTCCAAATACATAACATTTGTGGTCTCAAGAAGATGTAAAACTAAATATATAAGTTTTTACTCATTGCAAATGCAACACGCCCTCCAATGAAGTGAACCGGGTTCAAATCCCGACGATGGCTGGTCATCCGGCTTGAACCGACCACAGTGCTGACGTGAAATATCCTCAGTGATGGACGGATCACAAATTAGAGTCCCTTTACCGTCAGGCTAACCGTGGGAGGCTCTTGTGGTCTTCTACTCCATGCAACGCAAATGTGAGTTAGTTCCATCAAATGTCCCCCACGATGGCAAATTTCTTCCAATACTTGATTCCCTTGGTTCCCTTGTCTTCTGGATTGGGTTCAAAATTACAAGGCTACGGAGTTGAGCATTAATAGTCGTAAATCCAAAAATTGATCAACGACGGTTATAATATAAAAATCATTTGTGCTGTGTGGGACCCCAGCACAGAAAATAATACTCACAGCAAACTCACATAAAGCCAATACATTTTTAATGCTCAAGATTTGAAATGCAAGACGCTTTATATTAATTTTTCCATTCTCTTTCAGGTGAAGGTAATGCTTAGGATAAAACGTGATACAGAAGAATTGAACTCCTCTTTCCTGAACATCGACGCCCGTAAGAAACAAATCACAATCTATGATAACTCAACCAGTAGCCAATCATCTCCTTCAGTTGATCGGAGAACGGGAGTGTCTGCTCCCAAAATGTTTGCTTTTGATGCCATCTTCTCCCCAGATGACACTCAAGTGAGTTACACTTTACGAACGAAATATAATTTTTCTATCTGTGTGTGAGCAAACACATCATATAAATGGTAGTATTAAAAATATTCGAGATGATAGTAATAAGACTGATAGGATTTTTAAGCAGCAGTTGAGTCATTTACTTGACATAAAGAAAATGAAGAGATTTAACATACCTCTATCATATAAAAATTCAGTTTTCAACATTATTTTCTAGAACTTTTATCAATCAAGGCAAAGGTCGAATATCCAATTATTACAAATTTATGTTTTATGAAACAATGCACGGAAAATACAATTCTGGTAAAATTGTCATAGAGTATGGTAAGGACATTTCTGGTNAAAATGGAACGATAATGTTTAAATAAACATTATTACATTTGTCATTAACATGTCTAAATACATGTGCGGCCCTTCGTTAGCCAACCTGCTGTGCAAGTGGCCCTTCACTCAAAAAGGTTGTGCACCCCTACTCTGAAGTATCATAAATAACTACAAAATTTTACCAAATTTTATTGCTAATTATAAAATTATATTTTATTGTTAATTTTACCAAAATCAATGCTAATCGCTTTAAAAATTTCCGATCATTTTGGTGTTCCCATAGAGCCAGGAACACGCCAAATTTTACCATATTATGGTAGTTTCGACCGTACCCTTTTTTTTTCAATGTTGTAGAGTAAAGGTTAATATTTGCAAATCGCCCGTGACATGAAAATGGAAGAAGCATCAAATTATTTTTTCAAAACAAAACTGTTGTTGAAAATATTACATCCAAATGAGGCTATTTTTAAATCTTTAAGTCTTCCGATGAAAAATATCTTAGTTGATATTTTATTAGAAATAAATTGACTGTATTGAGGCAATATCCCATAAGAGGCAATCTGAGTCATATTTTTAAAACGAAAGCGTCTTTCATAGAAAAAAAACGCTCAAATTTCCATAAAGGTTATACGATGTTTCAGGGAATGGTGCTGTTACGTAGTGAAAACTCTGGAAACTTGTAAAATACCGATTTGGAAGAAGTTAAGAAACAGCTTGTTGTGAAAATTCCATTTTTTTTTTTTTTAAAGTGTAGCTTATCACTATATTGCCCCAAGCCCTTCAATCGTGCAAATTAGAAATAAATTATTATAAATGTAAGATATTCACTGATAATAATTATTTAAATTTATGGAAATTTATTTTGAGGTAAATTTTAAATTTTAAGATATTTTAAAACTTTAAGATACGAAGAGGAGAAGAAAAACACTGTTACAGTCGAAACAAATTTATTTAAAAAAGATTAATTACAAACATATATAATAATTTAATGTGTAATAACAAATTAATGTATAATATGTGATTATTTTAAGCTATTTTGTAAGCGGCTTTAAAGTTTCAAAGCCCAAAACTCCTCTCAAACTGATAATTCTAAAAAAATAATATTCATTTCCTCAAGTCACTTTTTAAAAATATGTGACTATTTTTAATTATATAAAATCATCAAGTGATTGGTCAGTTTTTATTTACGGGCTTGAATTCTTTTTTACAGGCTGAAGTTTGTTCGAGTTCCTTACCTGAAGTAATCCAAGCTGTTGTTGGTGGAACAGACGGATGCCTCTTTGTTTACGGACATTCCAAACAAGGTATGAATTTATTTGCATCAACTATTATAGTATGTAAATGTTTTTTTTATTTTTTATTTCTTCAATGGCGCGCCAACAAAGGGTGGGCCATGGCCGTCTTCAGAATCAAGTTCAAAGCTGCCCTCTTCTTGGATAGACTTTTTTTTCATTTCTGTATGATAGTATTGGTCATAAGAGCACGTTTTTAGAACAATAAATATGTTATGATTTTGCTTTTATTTCATGCAAATAAAAAACTAAGTGTGAGAAAAATGAAATAGTTATTCGTGCACTTTACTAATGCAAATGATTATAAATGTTTGTTTTTTTGCCTGAAAATAATGACGTCCGATCTTCAGTTTTCTCTTTTGAAAAACAGAATCATTAAAAAAATGGGATAATATTATTCCATTTTTAATGATTTCGTAAAGAAATGTTGACTCATGCGTATTCTGCGCAATGATTCTAATATTTAAATAGTACATCATTAATCAACACGCTAATAGCACAAGTTGTAAGATTCGTACTAAATCAGTTTCGTAGTCGATGAAGCAAATACTATATATTAAGCACAATTGTATAAGTATGTATTCAAAAATACACATTAGCCTTTTTGAAGATGCAGATTTCAATTACACTTATACCATGGTTAACTGAGAAAAAAAGGTATGGCCAAAACTCCCAGAATATGTTAAAATTTACCCTATTCCTGGATCTGCGGGAACACCAAGAAGATCGGAAATTTTTACAGAATCACTTTGGTGAGGATTTTATTGAAATTAACAATAAATTAATATTTTATAATACCTGCCAAAATTTTTTAACTTTATCATGATATCTTAGAGCATGGCATAAAAACTATTTATTCGATTAAATTTGCTTTTCAGTTTTATATTTTTTGCTAAATATGTGGCAATAAAAACTATAATTTTGAACACCAGAATTTCTGGTAAACTGTTACCACATGAACTAAAAAATTACCAAATGAATGGTTTAAATACCATATAGCTTAGTTTTCATTACCAAAATTAATTTTTTTTTATCAGAAATGTCATAACCACACAGAAGGTAATTTTACCTGAATTTCTTTCTTCGTGACTATACATGTTTTTTTTCGTGGACAGGTTTTTTAGTATCAATTATTTTTCTTAAAAGTTTGTTTTTATTGTACCTTATCTAGTTGAAAAAGGTTTCCTAAGCTCAATATATAATGCCTACTATAACCTATAAGACACTATAAGAACTTTTAAATCAAAGTGCTCCAATTGTGAGACACTATAAGAATTTTTAAATCAAAGTGCTCCAATTGTGAGACACTATAAGAACTTTTAAATCAAAGTGCTCCAATTGTGAGACACCATAAGAACTTTTAAGTCAAAGTTCTCCAATTGTGAACCAACACATGATAACAAGTACTTCAATATTTAAATTTTTCTTAAGGCCCACAGTTCTTGAAAGCAAATTTATACTATAATTTAAATGATTTTCGCTTGAATCAGAGTTTATGTTTTTAAACAGTTAAACTAGCGATTCATGACTAATTGTTAAATACGTGCTTTTCTTACGCGACGCTGGTTCATCAAATGTAAATTAATGAGTGGTTAAATTTTAGCATTGAAATTTCTTTTGTAGAAAAATATTTTTTATTCCATTTCGGTTATGAAAACATGTTTTTACAAATGCGTAGATTTTACTAGAATATACTTTAAATACATTACATAATTAATTTCGTGATGAATTAATTAATTTTTATTTTATTTTAGCTTAAAATACAAAAAAAAAATTTAATTCAGTTCGTACTTTATTCCGTGGGCATATGCATAGTAAACATTCTTGTAAATTTTCAAGTAATTTAAACTAAAATATTATAAAATATTGCATTTAGAATGAAGGATATAACCGAATAATTAGTTTTGAGAAAAAGGACAAAAAAACACAGTTGTGACAGTTATCAATTTCATTACTAATATAGATTTTTTTTTAAATCATCATAACTTCTGTTCTTTTTGATGAAGAAAAAAATTTCAACCAATTTTTGAAGGAGAAATATATATATATATATAGATATAGATAGATAGATGGATATTAACAGCTGTTGCGGGATAAACAACAAAAAAATGGGTTAATAGGTGGTATGGTCCCCTCTTAAAGATATACAGGACTTGCAGCTTGGTTTTATATTTGAAACTAGTGGGCTGCGCCCCCTGCTCGCAACGCTCGCCAACCCCCGAAAATTGCTACGCTTCGCACGCTACTAACTTAGGTACATTGCAAATGCACAAAATTCTAAGAATTGAAAACAATCATTTAAATCCATATAACAACTTTTTTTTAAAAAAATTACCTCTTTTTAGTAAATACTAAGTCATTAAAATAAATTTGAATTCAAATAAATGACATGTAATTCGTTAAACCTATTAGAAATGTGCTATAGTATAAAATCTTAAGATAAAATTTCAAAACTGATATCCCTTTAAAAAGGTTAAAATTTTGGCTATAATTAAGTCTATTAAAAATTGAAATAAGTGAATTGCAATGGAAAAACCTGCATAAACAAATAATTTATAGTAAAACAAATAAATTCGTGATATAAATCAAAAATTGTCAAATAAATTCGTAATATTAAATTCGTGAAAAAAAGCGCTTTCGACAAAATACTAAAATAAAGATCTATCGACAAAGACTACTCACTTCTGCCTAGCTTATGCTCTCTCTGGTTATTTCAGTTTCCGTTTTTAAAAGCGCTATATGTTGAGCCACCTCAGCCAGATTTGGCATGTGACATTTTTAGCGGCAATCATTGGTCGATTTTCTAGAGTTGCCATTCGGGGAGTTGTAATGAGGCTTTTTTTTTGTTGCCGTGTAAGAGAAATATATATATATAGATAAGGCAGTTTATCATTTCCTATGGCAATTGGCCTGAATTGTCCTGTGGCAATCTCATACCTTCCGACTCTAACGAGTGTTACGCACGATCATGCATGTGTATTGCAATTGCTGAATGGTCATTTGTTTTGTATTGTATCAATGTATGTGCATATCAAATTTCATTAAAATCGGTCCTGTAGCTCTAGAGATAATCGACCAAGTCTGCAAATCCTCTTAATTTCTTACACCAGTGTATATAAACATAAAAATGATATTTTTGTCAAAATTGGCTTAATAAAAAGATAAATTCGGATAGTTTAAATTATTTAAAACATTAAAATTCAAGTGTGTTCGAAGATTAATCTTATCATAAACACAATAGCAAGCAATTTTACTGGAAAACTACGAAGATTACCCAAACAACCCCATCTCAAGCACATCTCTCTAGAATAATCTGTCATGAGTTTATTTAAACAAAGAATTTCCGGAATTGATTTCCAATAAATTATTTCATTCTCCAACCCGGAGTATTCTTAATTAACCTCGCTGGGTGCCACATATCAACATCCAAAAGCCAGACAAGATAACTCTCTTTTGAAACTCCTCATCTTCAAAAGTCACATCTACCCCTTCCAAACAATCAATTTTCCTGTCTTTCGTCGTAGAAAATTCCTTTATTGCCTAAACACTTCCGCCTGCATAGGTTAAAGGCATGTCAGAAACAAAAACCCTTTCTTGTCACCCATATCCGGGTGGCAGAACTTCCCTTCGATGTTGACCGATGACATGTCAGTTGCGTGTCAACGGCGCCGATGATTTACATTCCCTGTACGATACTGGAATGGCGGTAAGACAATTTGTCTCCATAATGGCGCCCCTAGCTAAATTATTTCAAGTTCTCTCTCAATCAACCGGTGAATAGATTAATTCATTTCTCACACCTATGTGGCAGTGTAAAATGGAATGTATTTAATTTTAGAACAGTTTTCCGAATTGATTTCAATTTTCCGAAAGAGATACGTCTTGGCGCGTTTAAATCTCCATTAGTTGATGTTGGCAATTTATTTCAATTTGCAGTTGAGATATGTTGATTTAGTTAATCGTAATCGGGTGGGTTGAGATGTAATCAATCTGCATCGGAAGTAAAAATTAAAGTTCATGTAAAATTCATTAAGGCACTCTTGCTTAGACTGCATTTTAATACATTAAATTTAATTTCTCTCATGTATGTGGGATACGGATAAAAGGCGAATGAAAGATAAGAGTAGACTTGAGAGTATAAAGTGAAGATTATAAATACTGGTCTAACTATCTAAAACTAGGTCTAAATAATGCTTGTAAGTTCAAACCTGAAGGTACACTATATTACTTAGAGTCCTCAATGGCTCTCAAAACGAAACTATACACGATATCTCATTGCAAATCAGTAAAGCTAACACATGAGCTACGTGGATTGCAGGTAGGTGGTGCTGGTTAAAAACGAGCTGTACGGGACAGTGTTTATTCATTTCGACTATGTTTTTCAAAATACGGATACCAAAAATGGAAGGTGAATACCATGGTCAGCGCTGGATAAACCTATCTTTTTTTTTTTCAATGGATTCAGGTTTCTGACCCCCAAAGTATAGTGTATAGCCGCAATCTAGGAAATATGATTCCCATAGTTTGAACAGGAGGGCAGTCCAAAATTTGTACCCCTTAATGCTAATATTACTTTTTGTGAATTTCGCTATATCTCGAGAACTTTTTTAAAAAAATTTGCACCCAATTATAAAATTCATTTATCCAAAAGTAATTCCATGCGGAAAATAATTTTGAGTAAATATTTATTATTTTATTTATAAATGGAAGAAAAAAATTTGAATTGCAAGGTATAGTTTCTTGCATCATTTTAAAGAATATAATTTTACATGGCAAAATACAAAATTTGGGCAAACTCGGTTGAATAGTTTCTGAGAAATTAAATTTCAAAAAAGGTCAGATAGTTGAAATTCGATTCACTTATTAATTGGCATACTTGAGGTCACCTCCTCGAACCATTATTGTTGTTGTCGATTTACCTCACACTAGAGCTGCACAATGGGCTATTGGCGACGGTCTGGGAAACATCCCGGAGGATGATCCGAAGACATGCCATCACAATTTTGATCCTC